TAGGAGAGATCTGATTACTTTTTTAAATTTTCGTCAGAACTTTGGCTGCAGCATTTTTGATCAGCTGGGGGTTTCTAACTACAGTTGATGGATTTCCTGATTGTAAAGAATTACAATAGTCTAGCCTTGAAATATAAAATACATTGACTAGTTTGTCTACATCACCCCTGGACTAGATATTTATATTTTTTTTTATTATTTTGGATATGAAAAAAGGATATTCTAGAAACCCCTTTTATACAGGATTTAAATGACAAGTTCAAAAATAACACCAAGATTTAGACTGATATAAATTTGATCCTATCAAAATAAATAAGTTTACCTTCAATTTAGAACAGATGCATATGTTACGATTAGGGCAGGAAAAATGATGAAGTTTCTCCATGCCTGCCTTTCAATTGCACAAAATGGAAAACAAATAGTTTTCTGGCATTTCGTTTTTAAAATATAATCAAAAGTGATTCATGATCAGTTCATAATAACTAACTAAACAATAATTCATTTATTCTAACTGGAACAGTGTTTAAAGCCTTTTGAAAAGGCTTCTGATGGGATTGAATAATTATTTTTTATTTATTGTTTTTTTAAGTGCCACATAAATAAAGATGGAATAGATTCTCTCTGCTGAAAGGTCAAATTTTTTCTCTGAGATACTTTTTCAGTTGTTACGAGTTATAAATACACTAAGCCTTATAACCTGTAGCTTTGCATATTGGATCAACAATTGTCACTGTTGACTTGTTGATCCATTAAGAACAGCTACCGCTGATAGAGTTTACATCTTCAATATATGGAGTCTCTAAGAAAATTGAAAAAATATTTCAACAAAGAACAACCTGCGCATAGGACATACTGTAGAGTTTTTATGAGTTTGATAAAACAATGTAGCTACAAGTAAAACTAACTATTTTTATATCAGAATAAAAAAGTGCAGCCCGTAATAGACTAGCAAACAAAGGTAAGAAACAAATTTTTTCCAACTTGCAGCTTCATTGTCTTTGACGTCAAAACCGATCAAGTAATTAAAGGGTTGACGTTCCTTACCAGAACAAACAGTCTGCAAACTGCAGGTATCACTCCAGAACAGACATGTACCAATCAACCAGTCATGAACAGATGAGTCAAAAAATGTTCGACCGGTAGCCACACCTACGATAAAGCATTATTTACTTAATTGCTGACTAATTTTTACCTTTACGTGCACCTGACATTATAGTACCTGCTCTGTATGTATATAAAGCCTTTATGCTTAAACTGTGAATAGTACCAGTTAACCAGCAAACTGATAGGATCAGGGAGCATCAGAACCTCTGTTCCAGCTGTGAAGGCAACTTAACAGACAAAATCTGTAAGTACTTTCTTATGCTAATTTGAAATAATGTTTTAATTAATTAAAGCATTAAAGCGTTGTTATTCAATTAAATTATCATTATACTATCATTCATCTGATTTCAAACCCGCATGCTCACTCAGAAGGATGTTTTTGTTTTAAGTTCTTTACCAATTGGCATTATAAGCCGTATCTGACTACATTCTTATAGTAGGAATTAAATTATAATTTATGTTAATACATATTAATATTTTGTGATATAGATATTCTGTCATAGATTTGTTAATCTTCCTGAATATCATATTTGGTGGAAAGGGCTATGGATAAAAACAGACAGCAGAGGTAAATTAATTCACAATGGTTTGAAGTGCCTGTCTTACATTAGCATTTTATAATAATGAAATTCTTTACTGAAAATAAAAAAAAGAATCTTGATTCATTTTTTCAGAAAAGGACAAAAGACCGTGGAAATATAAAAGTTGATATTAATAGTATTACTTAATGAAAAAAGTGCAACTCTTTAAAATTAAAATCAAACTTTGTTTTTTAAAAGATATATTAAATTACTGTTAAAGTAGTATGTTACAGTTACAGATAAGGCATATAAAATTGATTTTTTTTTTCTTCAAATAAATGGGAATTAGAAGGTAAACTAACTATCACAAATAAAAGACAATAAAGACATTTTCTTTTAAACAGAGAACAAGATAAGGAAGAATAATGAAGATTTTGTGGATACTGCTACTTGTTGGTAAGTTATGCATCTTAAGACCACAATGTGGTAGTTATAAGTTTAAAAATCAAATTTATTTCATTGGGCTCTACGTGATTAATAATTCATATAAAATCAAACCTAGGCATCCAGATAATGACCATACATGCTCAAACAACTGGAACAGCTTCTCCTACGACCACGACTGCTCCAACAACCACAGCTGCTGCAACAACCACAGCTGCTCCAACAACGACAGCTGCTGCAACAACAACCACAGCTGCTCCAACAACCACAGCTGCTTCAACATCCACAGCTGCTCCAACAACCACATCTGCTGCAACAACGACCACAGCTGTTCCAACAACCACAGCTGCTGCAACAACCACAGCTGCTCCAACAACCACTGCTGCTCCAACATCCACAGCTGCTCCAACAACCACAAGTGCTCCAACAACTACAGCTGTTCCAACAACGACCACAGCTGCTGCAATAACCACAGCTACTCCAACGACCACAGCTGCTCCAACATCCACAGCTGCTCCAACGACCACAGCTGCTCCAACAACCACCTCAGCTCCTGTAGCAGCAACAACAATTCTCACTGCTACAACTTCAGCAACAACCACAGCCTCTGCAGGAGTTACTTATAAAGGAAGTTTTCTTTTAATCACAGCACTCATTGCATCTGCTATTTTGAAATGAAGAAACAATTGTTTAATGCAAAGAAAAAATGTCTACAAACTTTTAATGATTTATTGAAATTTATGACTGTCTTTTATCTTTTTGTTTTGTTTCTGGTTGAATTGAATCTTGATATGCATACAGAAATTTCAATTTATTTATTTTTTTATCAGTTTATTTATTTGCTTGCCATTATATAACTATATTTCCTTTTTAGATTATAATATGCATTTTTTTTAAAAGAAACATTCATACAGAACCACATGAGCCACACTACACATTCATTCAAATATTACACACTGTTACTACATGCTTTTTAAAGATGTAATCCAAATTGTTATACTGTATACTTGTGTGTAAGAATTACAACCAAATTTGTTTTTATAGCTTTTATTTATATTATGCTGACCAAAGTTCGAAGTGGTTACAGGCCTGACTGTTGTTACAAAAAAAATGTTTATTATTTATTGCAATAAAGAATACAAATAAAATGTTGAAACTTAGTAGGTTTTTGTTTGATTCATACCAATTGATAAAACATTTATTTCTACAGTCAGCATCTACGAACTAGACAAAACCATCAAACTAATCTTATTATTATTATTTTTTTTTTCAAACTAATCTTAATATCCTTTTAGGATCAATGGGAATTGTTTAACATTTGTTCATCACAATACTATATTTAAATTATTTAAGTTTACTTACTGCCAATTAAATACATGTCATCTCAAGGCACTTTACAGAGACAATTCAACTATTCAATTCTATCCAAGGAAAACAAGCAAGCTTGTAGCAACAGTGGAGAGGAAAACTCCATTTTAAAAGGAACAACCCTCCAACAGATTCAGGCTCAGTGTGAGTGGCCATCTGCCGATGTTGACTGGGTTTTAAGGAGACAAAAGCAGACATACATAAAGAAGCATACAAGATACAAAAGGTAACTGTCAACCATCTCCACAGGTGACACCCTACTGGAAACAAACAGCCAGGCAGACATGGTCCGAGCCAGCTCCCGTGTCTGCAGATGAAAGGGAGTACATACAGTTGAGGCCTGAACGCACTGGTTTGGTATGACCTTTTAATCTCTGTTCTGATTTTTTTTCCATGTAACACTCACTGTGTAAAGAGAGGCTCCAACTAGGCAGGGTGGGCGAAGTTCTTTAGACTAAAAACACACAGATAATGTTTATTTAAAAATGCACGTTCCTTTTGTGCAGAAGCTCAACACTAAAACTACCAGCCATTGCTCACTACTCTATTCTACCAGAGGGTACCAATTGGCAAAGCTGGACTAAATTGCAAATTACTTTTCCACCTTTTTTATGTGACTGCAGCCATTAGTTTGGAATGTGCTAGTATCAAAGTCACCAGCAGTTGTTTTAGGCCATGTGGTGGAGGCTGTATAATGAAACCTTTTGAGTTATGATGAAGCAAATGTCTGCTTTGATAGAAATTATGATAATATAGAAATAACTAAATAATATTAGCCATAATTACTATTGAAGGAAAAGTGGTAAAAATATTTCAAAAGCTATGGATATGTCTTTATGGTCAAGGATTACGATAATGTTGACAAAATGAATGTACAAATATTAGATTGACAGGTAATACAAAGGGGAAACATGCTGCTCAGCAGAGATCAGTGCTCTCTGAGTTCCTTTCAGGTTGCAATTTCTTTATACTCAAAAATTAAATCTGATTTATCACACCAGGCAAGATCCAAGATGCAGAATTGTAAGTTAGCCAAGTCATAGTTATGAGTCTGAATCAAATAATTCAACTGAAATAGCTTACAGTATTGGTCATAATCAAGCATTAGAAATTGAAATATGTTCGGCAAAGAGACCATCCAATTTACAATTATTGGGTGGAAGGTTACTCTAGTAACTTGACTGATCCTATAATGAAAAACATATTTGGGGGAAATCCTTAGAAATCTTTGGAGGTTAGCTCTTTCCATTAGGATTTCCATCAACCATGTCTACAGCCAGAAAGCGAAGAAATATGACCATGCACACGCACATGATGTGACCATGCAATAGGTAACATTTGAGCATATGTCTAGCTCTGTTCTGGAGATAGACAAAGTTTGTTTCTGGGTAACTGAAAGCCTGCAACAATGCTGTGAATGTCTCCACATACCATTACTAACAAAATAATAAAATCATAAAACTTCCTAATAGGATAAACAACCCCTCTCGCTTAAACACCTTGTAACCTTGCAGCTCTGAGGTCTAATTGAATGAAACTCAGTGCTCTTGAATCAGTATATGTAAAAGGGAATTAATAGCAGATACATTTTTCCCGTCACAAAGGATATTGGAACTTCCTTTAAAAGACAACATACATCAATGTCACATGTAGGTGATTTATCCCTGGATACATTTAGACTTAGACTAAACAACATTTATTGTCATTTTGTATACACAGTGTTTACAAACCCTATGTCTCATGACATTTCCTTAAAGTACAGCAGTGATCAAATGTAAACATTGTGGGAGAAAAGACATTGTGCAATAAAAAATGCATTGATATAGAATTCAACTTTGTCATTCCACTGTCACAAGTACAGAGCAACAAAATGAATCGTCTGCATTTAAACCATCCCCTTGGGGAGCAGTGGGCTGCCATTGTGCGGCGCAGGTAATTAATCCCTCAGTATTTTCTTATCTACTACCAGCTTTGGAAAACTCAGTGATAAACTCTCGGGCATAAATTATATTTAGTCTACACACCTACTAATTAATAATGAATTATCCTAAAATATCCTTAATGTGAATATCCATATCTTGAAGTTAAGTTGTGTTGATAATTTTGATGGATTTTTTTTTTATTCCTGAAAAGACATCTTTCATTTAATGTTTGCCTAAATGTCTTTCTGTTCTCACTCTTGAAGGAGGTGGTCGCATTTTTCTGCTCCTCCGCAACTTCCTGATCTGTTCCTGCTTTGCTGTGTCTTAACAGTTAAGTCTTAACAAGACTTAACAGTAAAAAGAAAATATCTACATTAATACTAAGCAATTTTTGTATGAAAAAACAACAACAGGTTTTTAAGAAATGCAGCGCTCTGCAGAATAGCAAACAAATTCAGGACAAAAATTATTTCCAGCATGTAGTTTTATTTTCTTTGACGTCAAAACTGATCCAGTAAGTAAAAGGTGGACCTTGTTTGCAAGAACAAAACAGTCTGCATAATAAAGGTGTCACTCCAAAGTTGTGACTTTAAAAACCTTCCTGTTGTGACGGAATCATATAAGAAACCATTTCAGTAGTTCACCTGTACATAAGTTACTGCCGGTTCAAAATTAGATACTGGAAAGAAAATGTGTCGGTCAGAGAAGATATCACCAAATTGTGCTATGCTGTTACAGTTAAAAAAAAAGGCTCTAAAAATTATTAAATTATTTAAAAATAATTGAATATAATAAGAAAACTAGATGTGGTGGTTTTGTTGGAAAAATTCAAAGGTTGCTTTTGATGTAACAGAGGGTCTGATCCTTATCCCAGCAATCAATGGACAAGCAGCAAGAAGATTGTCGGTATGAGTTTCAGAATCTGTAAAAATGAAATTTTAGAACAGCTACAGCGAATTTAAAATCTAGTATTTGGTACAGATGAGCTTAATATATATTTTCTTTTAAAGAAACGCTGAACATCTATTAACTGTGACATTTCTATCCTCTATTAAAGGTGTATGCAATACATTCTTAAGAAAGCCCATGTGGATGTCATGTGGTGAGATTTAAGATTCACCTGGCTGTTAAAAATACATTAAATTAAAAGACATGTGAAAAAAGAGCTCAGAGGTAAATATCATTACTGACGTCCCTATTTATAAACATACAACTTACCTGTAACAAAGCAGGCACACATAAGAAACCCAAACATAAACTGATTCGGTCTTATATTTAATACCTTACAAATGTTATGTAGTTTTTCTTTTTTGGTCACAACACATATATTTGATTGATATAGTAAGCTGTAATAAAATCTGAACTTAAATGGATAGGTGTGACTTATGCAGTGGATGTGTCTTAATGTCAGAGGTTTGCAATTTGTGTAGGATAATTAACATTCCAGTAGAGACAGACAGCGTCAATGGTGCACTGCATGATCCTTCCCAGATAACCTGAATAACAGGAGAGTCAAAACAGCATATATTTTTCCAGTGTATTTCATATTTTAAAAAGCACTAAACATGTATAAAACTTTGTGATTCAATAAAATTGAAATGAAAGGATACGGCATGATTTGATTTAATCTTCTTCCAACATATGTTAGCTCTCTAAAGCCAACAGTTTACTCTCTCTTCAACATATGGTAGGTTATAGTTACCTGTTTAGACAAATCTAATTTCTGAAAATAAGCAGTTGAAATACACAAACAGTTTTTTTGTGGTATGACTCTTAATATTCATTGATATGTTGTGCTATCCATATATTGATTGAAACTGACGTCACAAAAAATCTTAGAAAACTTTAAAGTTGAATACTTTATATAAATTTGTTACTTGAAACTGCTAAGCTAAATTGTATTAACCGAAACCCAACAAGAAATAAATAATCATTGTAGTGTTATTCCAAACAATGAATGTAAATCTTACATCTTAGTTCAATATAGACTTGTTTAAATGTTGTGCTTTAAGTATCCTTAAAAAAAAAACACGAATAAAAAAAATTTAGTCATGTGCTTCAGTCCAAAATGAAAAGGAATGCTGGGAAACCAGTCTTGAACAGAGTATTAAAACTATGTTCAACCTGTAGCCACACCTAAGATAAAGCATTATTCACTTAATTGCTGACTAATTTTCACCTTTGCATGCAACTGACGTCAAAGTACCTGCTCCTGATCTATATAAAGCCTTTGCTTCAATGGTGAATAGTACCATTTGACCAGCAAACTGATCACGGAGCATCAGAACCTCTGTTACAACAGCGAAGGCAACTTATTACACAAAACCTGTAAGTAATACATTTCAACTAATTTCAGTACAACTTACTCTATGAGTGCTTAGGACATAGAGATATTCTATAATTAATCTTCAACATTAATCTAACATTACTTCTAACTCAAGATTGTGGATTCATTGAAAATCAATAACTTAATGCTATAGATGTAATATTCTTTATCAATTGGTATTATAAGCCAGATTTGATTACATTGCTATAATTGGAATAAAATAGTAATCTATATTATTAAATTTGGATCTAATTTTTTCATAAAATATTTTATTATTAGAATTGGATTTGCTTATCTCATCTAGTAAAATGTCTTTGATGGCAGTTTGTGGAAATTGGGATTACCAAATACATATTGCAGAATAAATGAATTCACAAGGGTTAGTAGAACTCACTGTCTTACATTACCATTCTATAATTAGGAAGATCTTGATTGAAAATAAAAATGGCAACTTGGTCCATTTTGCTAGAAAATGACAAAAAAGAACTGAAGTAGAAAAGTAAATATTTACAGTGTTACTTGATTAAAAGAGGAAAATCAATAAAAATAATATTGAACTTGAATATTTTAAAGATATTTTAAATGAATGTTAAAGTAATATATGTAGTATGTTATATATTCTTTTTTTTAAAGGAAAATACAGCGCAAATGCTAATATACACATTTTCTTTTAGACAGAAAACAAAATAAAGAAGAATAATGAAGATTTTTTGGATACTGCTACTTGTTGCTGGTAAGTTAAACATCTAAAACTACAATGTGGCAGTGATAAATTGGAAAAATATATATAATTCATTGTGCTCTAGTTTATAAATAATTCTTATAAAATGAAACCTAGGCATCCAGATGATGACCACAGCTGCCCAAACAACCACAACGGGTCCAGTAACAAACACAGCTGCTCCGACAACAACCACAGCTGCTCCAACAACCCCCACAGCTGCTCCAACAACCACAGTTGCTCCATCAACCACAGCTTCTGTCTCAACCACAGCAGCTGCAATGACAACTACAGCTGCTCCAACTACAACCACAGCTGCTCCAACAACTACAGCTGCTCCAACAACCACAGCTGCTCCAACAACCCCCACGACTGCTCCAACAACAACAGCTGCTGCAACAACAACCACTGCGGCTGCTCCAACAACCACAGCTGCTGCAACAACCACAGCTAATCCAACAACCACAGCTGCCCCAACAACCACAGCTGCTCCACCAACCACTGCTGCTGCAACAACGACTACAGCTGCTACAACAACCACAGCTGCTGCAACAACGACAACAGCTGCTCCAACAACCACAGCTGCTGCAACAACAACCACCGCTGCTGCAACAAC